GACTGACCTTGGGCATAAGTCCTTATTCTGTCAAAGCTTTGAGATGACATATGATAAAGACTTATACTGACAAGTGTCAAATCTAAATACTAGATTTTTTGGAGGGTATGCCAGATCCTTTCTGTACTCTTTAGTATCTGATGATAATAATTGGTTGGTAAATAAGAGTTGTGAATAAACAAAAAATTGTGAATAAACAAAAAATTGAAGTATTTTCTACTTGAAAATGGTATCATGAATCTTCATGCAGTTTTGGAGAATTAGTGCCTATTTTGATATAGCTGTTATGCAGAATAACAGCAATTAAAAGTTCTGTCAACCATTCTATTACTTAAGATCCTACCTCCAAAACCAGTACAAAACAGCAATAGACTGGAGTGAGTCCAGCAGAGGGTCACCAAGATGGCTGGGGCTGAAGAACTTGCCCAGTGGATTGCCTGAGGCGAACAGGGCTTGTTCAGCATCACCCAGCAACTACAAGATCAAGAAATCTGAACCAGGCTCTTCACAGACTGTGATAGGAGGAGGGAAAACAGGCAGTCAGCATAAAATAAAACAGGAGAAGTTTGACCAATTAAAAGGAATATATTTTCACTATTAGGATGCTCAAACATTAGAACAGGTTTCCCAGAAGGGTTCTGATGTTGTTGTCTTAGGACAGGAGTTTGGACTAGAGAGATTCTGAGGTCTCTTCCAACCTGAATTATACTATGACAGTTTGGTAGAAAAAGATAAGTCTATGCTTCCTGTTTCACAATCTGATAGGCTTGCATAAACAGTACGGTGTTGCTTTGAATACCTCCACAGTTCTGAACACCACATTTTCACAATTTCTTCATTTTTGATACAGATTATTAGTAAAATGAAAGGTTCTATAGAAAGAAATGTGGAATTAAGCTGACGGTATTTACAGTGGCTGCTCTGAAAGTAACAACTCCTATTTTATTATTCTGGCTCATGACATCAGAGGTGGATGTTGGTGACGGCAGTAGAGACTGAACCTCCCCACCAGTACTCCATTACATTCTCTTGTCATATTACAGATTTGTCAAAATGGCTTGTTACATGGAAACTCTATAGAAAATACTCTTGCCAAAGGTAATGGGCAAAGAGAGAAGAATGAACTAGAGGAGTACTTAGAGAATAAGCAAAAAATCATACAAGTTAAAAATAAAATAAAATAAACAGGCCAGTTATTGACTTGTAAATACATTAGGATTCAACTCTGCATGTATTTTGAGAGGGTGTGACATTTGTGTGCTGTTCAGAGTTAACACGGGGGAAAAGGGATGCTTCCTGTATTTCTAAAATACTGAGCGCATTTTTCCTAGTACTTCTGCTGTTTCTAGAAAACAGCAAAACTATTTCTAATCATTTCAGGCCTGAAACTTTAGATTATTAGATTACTAATAGATTACTAGAACTTTAAAACTTTAAAACTTTAAAACTTTAAGTTTTTAAGAACTTTAGATTATTAAATCACTTATACTGTTCCATTACAGCATATTGAAGTTTTAGCCAGTATGGTAACAAGCTGTGTGAAGAATAATCTGCCCTACCTGAAACTTATTCCATGCTGACTCAGGCTGACTTTTTGAGCAAAATAGTCTCTTCAGGAAATCTGCAGTCAATTTTAGCTAGATACACTTTACATCTGCCAAAACATGTGCTGAGTTAGTAGGAAACAGAGTTATTTACAAACTGAAGTTCTGTTTTCCCATTCTCAAGTCAAATCCAAGTAATAGGCTTATGATGACATCTGCAAAAGGATTTAGAGAAAAGAAACCAACAGAAGCTTTGTGAGATGATGAGAAATGATGGATTCAGTGTATCAGAGCTGTTGCTAAGTGGAAATATCGGAGCTGCTTAGGTTGGCTCAATGGCCTGATTAAGTTAGCAAGAAACTGTGTTTTCTGTTCACCCTTATGAGATTTTATCATAAATCATCTCATTAACGTGGTACAGAGAGACTGTCTCCTTAAAATAGATCTTGGATTGCAAGGCAATCCAATGTAGATGCAATCCTAAGGAATATATGCAGATTCCATTAAGTATTATTACTTTTATAAAAGTGAGCAGTAGAACATTCATAAGCATGTAGGCTAAGTAATATTAAATTCAATATTAAATAGATGTAATGCCAAAAAAACATCAAAATCAACAAAAAAAGAACCCAAAGGACCCACGACCTTAAACATAAATTGTATGTCTCCAGGAAAACTTCAGGCTGTTATAAAGTTGTCGTTAAAGCAAGAAAACTCTGACTTCTGAACACATAATGGTCTCTCTTCCCAGTGGCCAGCATTTTTGTTTTTCCATTTATTCCCTACAAATTCCTTAAAATCCCTGAAATTAGGGAGCGGCTTCTTTATTTGCCTGCATTCTCAGCAAGCTTAAATTGAAATAGCTTATTAAATGAACAATCAGGCCTTTATATACTTTCTTCTTAATATAATTATTAAGAAGTTGAACAAGTTTTCTTATTTCTATCCATTCCTGAAAAACTGAAAATGAAGTTTTTCAAAACTGTGTTCCATTAACAACACTTACAGCCTGATATTCTAACACAGATGTCCTTCTTTCATATTATTCTTAAGTAAATATTACTCAAGAATACAGTTTGTATTAGTGAAGAACTGTTACATAGAGTATTACTTCAGTAGTGGATGGCACAGTTTGGGATGCCCACGTATGACAATGTGGCAGTCTTTGCACGTATGCAAAACACAGTGCCAGAAGTAACAGTGGCACCAGACCTGCTGAGACCCAGAGGCTCAAGTCCAAGCACAAACTGGCCCTCCTTCACTGAATGTTCATGTGGTACAATCTAACTTATGCAGCTCAAGCACACAAGTGAGTTGGGCAGCTGCTGTGAGAGCAGTAACCCATAGCAGAGAAGTGGGGTCAGCACTGGAAGCATGTATGCCAAGGCTACCAAGGGCCTCTATTTTAACAAGTAGGAGTACATTATTTTTTCATATGAGAAAGAACTCTTATTAGCAACCAAATTTTGCTTCTTCTGTCCGCCACAAACACCCGCCTTCTTTCCAGAATTACAAGTACATTCTGATGTGATAGTTTAGCCTCAATGTTTAGACTGGATATATGGAAAAAAGCTTTTTACAGTAAGGGTGGTGAAGCTTTGGAACAAATTGTCCAGAGAGATGGTGGAAGCACCATCCTTGGAGACAGGCAAGGTCAGCCAGGACTGGGCTCTGAGCAATCTGATAGAGTTGTAGGTGTCCCTGTTCATTGCAAGGGAGTTGGAATAGGTGGCCTTTGAGGGTCCCCTCCAACACATAAATGATTCTATAATTCTGTATAGGTGTATCAGGTAGGTGTCTCAAATGTCCTCTCTTCTCAGCTTTTCCCTTCTTGCCTTTTATGGCCAACTTTTTCTCATAATTTCTTTTGTATAAAGTCATTTCTATCCTTCTATGCATCTAAATAGCATAATTTTCTCCAACTATTTTACAGTTCCTCTTCTGCCCTGGAATTTTTCCATCCATTTCATGAGACTGCGTATCATTTGATATCATTGCTTGAATCTCAGGAATAGGATAGCAACTTGGCAGCCAGCATAAGAGCTGATGTTTCTGAGTTCTATTATCTCAATTTGCTGATTCTTTACAAAACTCTACCTCATATTTCACTGTTTGCACTACATGCAGCCAAAAAAGAGAAGGCGGATTTCTTTGTTTGAAGGTTCAAAACCCCATCAGTGGAGTTTAGGAAATAGAAAAAACATCACAGCAGAATTCAAAAAGAAGGTCTGAAAAAGAGATGTAAGATGTAATGGAGAGGGGTACCCTCCTTTAATTCTGAATCCTGTTTTACTGACTGCTTTACAGTTTTTTGTTTCTGCGTACTGCTAACAGATATATACATCATTAACAGTACACTGTGGAGAATGTAACAAAAAAAAATCAAATTTATTTGTTTTGAATTGCAAAAACAGTGCATGTACATTATTTCAAAACACAGAGTCTGTATGTTTTGAAATAACACAGGGCAGGGCAGTTCTCACAGACCTGTCTGTTGATGAAAGGATGAGAATATGCCATCTAATAAATTTGCTGAAAACAAGCTGCACTGTACATTATCAAAATAAAGATGCCTTAAAAAAAAAAAAATCACACTTTTCATTGTCTGTGAGAAATTAAGAAGAGGATGGCAAGGGGTGTTTACACAGGCACTTAGCCAGGAAGCTGTGTTTTCCACAGATAGAGTCATTCAGGGAGCACATCTCTGATTTTATGAGCTCCCTCTCTCTGTTCTCATACCCCTGTAATCATGACAAGAAATCTATCTATAGGTGAGAAAATACATAGCTCTGCACAGCATATTGAAATGCTGCCTCTTTCCTTTAGGTAAGTGCTACCACACTGAGGCCATTTGTAGGAATTTTACACAGCAAGACAAACAAATGGAAACCTCTTAAGGAAACACATCAACTGCAGGATAGTTTCACAGTGAATCCTCACAAAAAATCTATGCAAGGAGACTATAAAAGAATTCTCCATAAATCTTCTGTAAAATGCAGCATTGCTGATTAGCAATAGAAAATGCCGTGAGATAGAAAGTCTTGTCACTTTATTTGTATGTGCTCTTCAGCATCTTAAGTTGCAGCTTAGGATCCCTCAGGATCATGTGAGGCTAGGTTATATATTAGGGAGCTGTGCTGTAGTGCTGTGTGTAAGCCTAGCAGCTGGGTACTGTTATGGTTGCTGCTTTCCTGTGCTAAGCTGATTTACTTGTTTAAGGTCTGACCTCATCATCCTGTCAGTATGGATTCCCACCTATACAGTTAGCAGCAGCTTAGCATCGGCTCTAAGAGCTTGCAGTATATTAATCAGGAGAGAGAGCGAGCTACCGGTATTTGTTCTTTTGTTGTCTTTTCTTAAGAAGAGGAGTTGAAACACAAGAGATAACAAAGAATCCATTTCCTTTCTAGAAGAATAGGCTTTTGTCATTTTTTTTTTTTTCTTTTCTTTCTTTCTTTTTTTTTTTTTTTTTTCCCTGAAACAATGTCAGTGTCTGGAAAGAAAGAGTTTGATGTGAAGCAGATCCTGAGGCTCCGCTGGAGGTGGTTCAGCCACCCCTCGCAGAGCTCCGCAGGCACGGGGGGCTGCCACCAGCAGGAAGGATATGAGCACAGAGGGACACCGGTGCAGAACAGGTTGAAGAACCACTCTCGGGACAGAAATGGGCTGAAGAAAAACAGCAGTCCTGTCCACCACAATATATTGGCGCCTGTGCCCGGTCCAACTCCAGTGCACCACCGATCGATTCAAACCTGGCATCAACAAAACCTCATAGAACAGCTTCGATCAAATGAAGATATTCCCAAAGCAAACACAGAGGAAAACTGTGTCAAGGAAGATTCAAGTAAAACCCTGCAGGAGTTGCAGATGATCACAGAGGAAAATTCAGATGAATCTGCAGAGAGGTAGGAGTTTTAAAGTCTGCACTTCAAAAGCAGTACTTCTATCCAAGTTATTCCCTAAAACTGTCTTTGTTCTTAAGCAGAATTCTTTACTGTGTTACTCTCACTTTATGTATGTGCACACCCACACATACAAATAGAATTGAATTCACATTAAGAAGTGAATTGAAGGATTGTGAAATGTAGAGGTTTGATATGTCATTTCAGAACCTCAAAAAAAAAAAAAAAAAAATCCACCAGCTTGTCAGTTTTTTTCCTATTACAGTTTATGACATGCTAATTCTTTGTCTTGACTTATTATGTGTAAAGACAATGAAAAAATGAGCCTTCTGAAACACTGTCCTCATTCTGACTTTATCAATGGGTGCAACTTTGACAAATGAGAACTGCTGGAGATGCACAGTCTGCGTGGTTGCCATCGGTTTGTCAAATTCTTCACTGCCTTTTATTAGTGCCTTCTCGACAAGTATAATTAACCTTGAACTAGGTGGAAAGGAAGCATCATTACTTGCTTTTTTGAGGGTTTCTTTGAAATAACATTACTTTCACAGCTTGTTTAGCACACTAAGGGACAAATATTTTCTGTAAGGTCGGGTTAAAAGATATTACAGCTATGCCACCTTAAAGGTCTAAGAACAAAGGAAGAGCTATTTTTAAGATGTTCGTAGGGAGAAGAAAACAAGAGCACAAGTTATTTGGTTAAACATGCCATTTAGATTGATGATGTTTTCAGAACTGATGTCAGCAGTAATTGCTCCTACAACAACAAATTTACTTCTCCTTTATCCCTACTTTGACTCAAATTATGCATTTACAATGCAATTATTTGTAACATTAGATAAGATTGCCAGCAAGTCTTAGGGAATAATTTCAGATATTTATATTGTACTTAGATAGAAATCCATCTTAACTGAAGTTATAGTTTCTCTCAGTAAAGCAAAGCTGACAGTTTGTGTATTTTTAGGAGTTGCTGTTTTTCAAGTTGTACATCTGGTATAGGGAACATTAGCAAAATGAATAGAAAAAATGCCTTTCAAAATGTCATTCTGAAAACAGTCTTAATGGATGCTCTGTAAAATCATTACAAAATAAAATCAATGAGATAGGAATGTGGTAGTTTTGTATGCTCACTCATTTACTACTTTGTTGGCATAACTTACTTCAAATTACATTACATATTTCCTAGGGGGGGGAAGGAAGCAAACATAGGCGCATCTTAGCAGGAAAGTAATTTTAGTTTGAAAAATATAAAGAATGGTGAATAAACAAAATAAGACTGTTGTCTGATGAAGAAAGTTTAAAAAAAAAAGGATAATTAATTCAGTTTGAAAGGTACTGAGGCACTGTCTTCTAAAATGAGATGTGACATTTTCTCCAGCTATATAAAAACTTTATGCCAAGACCTCATGAAATGTTGTTCCTTCATATTCATTCAAATTTACGTTGTTCCATTGAGTTGTTCAAATTTTCAGATTTTAGATGAATTTTGGGAATGTGTATCATAACCTATTGCTATAGTCGTGTGTTTTTTTTGCAAAGTTATCAGTAAAAGCATTTTATGCATGTTGTAGGATAAAAGAATTCTTAAACACCTTAAAATGCTGACTTTGTATGACGTGGTTTAGAAAGTCAGTTGCCACTATGTGTTTCACTCTAATCAAAATTTTATTTCAAGGAATTAAAATATATTCTTAAAGATGCTATGACATAGCTCCAATTTCTTAAGTATATATCAGGAGAAACTGCTAAGCAAATAATCTGTCTTTCTCTTCCTCTGTAGCATCCAACACAAGACACACAAGAATTAATATGCTAATCACTTGGGGAAAATCAGGCATTTGGAAGTTCCCTTAACTGCATCTTCTTACACTACTAAAGTCAATGAATAATCAACCTGTAATTATTGCCTCCATGTGCTCTTTTGCATTCATACCTGAGGATACTAAAAATGACTTCATATAAATTTTCCTTTTATTCCATAAAAATAATCTTATCTTCTGAGTATTGACCCTAATCCAAACATTTCACCTCTGCCTGCAGAAGTTCCATTTTTAGCTAGACTCTAAAGCATGACAAGCTGAACACACTACTACTTGTCACTTGGGCATTCAAAATAGTGGGAAAGGTTAGGAAATCAGGCCAACACTTCAATCTTAAACAGGATATGTGCACAATTTCCATTAGCAACTTAATTCTTTCTACCAAAAAAAGCTGAGGAAACATTAGAAGAATATTCCTTATTTCTTCAAAATAAATTGAGACATCTCTCTCCAGAAACCTCAGAACTTACTGACTTCACTATATAGACAGGATCTGTGAGTTTGATGAAATATGGGTTGTTTACTGAGGAGGAAAGGTAAATAAAATTCCAAAGAACTGTTCCATTTTGAATATTCTACCATGAATACACTTACTCCTGTTTTCTTCAACCTTTTTGGTGCTCCTGTACCCAAACAAAATAAGTAGCCCCAAACCTTTCTGACCTATAGTCTCCTTCCTGAATACTAGACCTTGACAAATGACTGACAAAGAAAATGAGAATTTAAGGGATGAGAACACATTATTTTTTCAGTAACGATACCCAATTAAGATGTGACCAACCTATAAATGCTACGTGCATAACAGATAAATAAATTGCTTACTGACACAAGGTTAGGATAAACTTCCCAGAGTGCTTGGGGACTGTCTGTTGCTAGGAGAACACACTTAAAAGGTATCAAACATATTATGGAAGCATTTTAAATGATGCTCCTTAGCCTGCTAAAAGATCCCTACAAAGATTGCACCTGTAGTTTTGGAGAGATACGGATTTTATTCGCCTAGTCTTATTCTCATGAACTGACTCCTTGAATGAGGACCTTTACACATGTGAAAAACAGAGAAACCAGTTAAAACCTGAACAAATGCCAACTTATTTTGTTTATTTGTACACTGTATTTTTTGCTATAAAATATGGGATTACTGGGATAGTCATAAGGCTAAACCTGCAGAACGCGACCATGCAAATGAAGAGTAAAAAACATCAAATATTTCAGGCGTGGCTTAAAGGAAGTAGGAGCTTAAGTGAACTCTGAAACAATGTATGGTAAATAAACTGTGAATTGCTTCTGGTTCAGAAGACATGGCCTACTGTATACTTTACCTAGTCTGTTGATAATTTCAGATTTCTTTGAACTATCTGGAATTTGATGAAGTTCAAGTTTTTCCAGGGATATCAAAATTCCTTGAAGAAATCCTATTTCTTTCAAAGAAAATGGTCTGGAAGTGAACCAGATATATAATAGAAAATCCCAAGATTTCACTGTTAGATTTTGTTTTGATCAACAAAAACTTTGTTCGCATGTGCAAGATATGGAAAAGCACTTGTGCAAAGAAACTGAAAAGGCATTCATACCTCTTAATAGGAAGAATCCATAATATTAAATTACCTTGATTACTTTGCTTGATTAATTTTGGACTCACAAACATGACTGTACTGATCTTACAGTGCAAGAAGTATACCTGTTACTTATTTACATTATGCTACGTTGCCACATCAGTTTATGCACACTTGCTGGAAGGTATGTTATGATTCTGTAAGTATACTATTGAAGACCATGTAAGCTGGCAAAGTGTGTGGGTACCTCTATTCCTAGTTACCCAAGGCAGTGGGATTTCAATAGTGAATATAGCATCCATTCAACTTTTTTCTTTTATGCACTTCTTATAATTGTATGGCTGAAAAACCTCACAAATCCACTTGGTTGACAAACTCCAGTTTTGGTAAAGATATATACTTTCTAATTTACCATATGAAACAAAATAGACTTCTAATTAATTTTACTACACTCTTTTGATGTCATAATCCAAGCAGCTGGTGCTGATGGGTGTACTCAGATACTCAGGAGGATTACCTTCTTAACAGAGGCAACGCATTTTCTGTAGTTACTATTTACGATCAATTTCTTTGACAGTTCCTTTTGTGTAAGACATGAAAATTCATGTCATCTTTTTTTCTTTGCCAACAATATGGAAATAACTAACAATTTTCCTTACTTCTTGTGTATATGTGTACGTATGTATGTATATATCAGTGATATCACTGGTTAGGATAAACTGTGATATCACTGATATATACATACATACGTACACATATACACAAGATTATTTCACATATTATCCCCTATATCAGAGATTTCCTTAAAATTCTTATTTCTATTATAGCCTTGGCTCAAAGTACAGTGAAATAAAAGGTACTTGAAATAAAAAATACCCTATTATTTGTTGCAGTAGCCCAAAAGACCTTCAACAGGACACAGAATCATAGAATATCCCAAGTGGGAAGAGACCCACAAAGACCACTGAGTTAAGCTCCTGGCCCCGCACAGGACCACCCAGAATCTAAAAACTAATGTCTGAGAGCACTGTCCAAGAGCTCCTTGAGCTCTGGTAGCTTGGAGCTATGCCTGCTGCCCTCTGGTGCAGAACCTTTTCCTGACCCCCAACCTGACCTCCCCTGAAGCATCTCCATGTTGTTCCCTTAGGTCCTGTTGCTGTCACCAGCAAGCAGAGCTCAGTGCTGCCCTGTGAGAATCTGTAGGCTGCCAGAAGGCCTCCCCTCAGCCTCCTCTTCTCCAGGTTGAGCAGCTGCTGAGCTTGTGATTCATGTGAGCCCTGCACATGTTCCCTAACCATCTGTACATTTTTGCTTTGTCCCTAAATATAGTACTTCCAACAAATCATCTTATTTTTATCAGATAACGTCTCCAGTGTAATATTACTTAATTCTGATCCTAAATAGAAGCTAAGAAAATATTTTTGTTTTATGGAGAATTTTGCAGTTTCTTTAATACTTTATATGTTGACTTATACGCAATATACGTTAAAAATATGATGATTTTATGTCAGTCTGCTATGGATAGCCAAAATGCTTCATTAAAACCTCAGGGAAAAGCAGAAAGTAATTGTCTGCTAAAGATAAGCTTTAAATAAAGGTCAAAATACAAATTTGAAGCTTGGAACAT